GGGAGGGAGGGACTGAGGAAGTAGAAGTGTAGTAAAAGAATCATTAAGCTAATACTAAGACAGCATGAAAAATAATAAGCATGTCAATATTCTGTTAAGAAAAAGGTGAGCATGAAGTTTTCTATAAAACCTGACCTATCATCAGCAGATTTCTCTTGAAGATTCTGTTATACTTGAATACTCATGGTCTATTTCTTGGTTAATAAAGAATCAGAAAATACTGTGTCCCTGCATATATGCCTGCTGATATTTCAGTCAAGTATTATTTAATTTATGTTTTGATTCTTTCTGTAATCCCAGCCTGAGAGTAGCCCTGGATAATGTGTTACAGCTGTGGGCACTATGAATTAAGTTTTCTATCATCTTTTTTATGCCAGTCCATTGACTTGGCTGCAGAATAAATTGGCCTCATCTTCTCATCCAAAGAATATGCTGGCAGTGTGTGAAGCATTATTGCCACTGAACAAATCAGTGATTAAACTTAACAGGAGTATTCCATTAAGTCCCCAAATTAGAGAAAGAAGATTCCAAACTAGAGTAGATTCAGCAAGGGAGAATGAGCAAGAATGAAGACTGACTCTACAGGTCAGTTAATGAATGCTGTTAGAGACAATATTGATTTAGATGATCCTTGGCCTTGACATAATTCTTATATTGCTAGGATAAAAAATAATAATAATAATTCATGTTTATACTGTACAGATTTCAACAAGGTTTACATTGACAAGTAATTCAGACATTGCAGTAAGGATTTTAATGCAAGACACAGTCTTCAAAGAATACTTAGAAAGCTGTCACCCTTGCATTTTAAAATCTGTAGTGCCCACAGTATAGACATGGTGTATAGATCCTTCTGCCTACAAAAGCACTCTGAACAGAATACAATATATAGTTTTTTGAAAATACGAGAGAACAAAATGAATTTAAATGCATTTAAATTTATTAAGAATACAATAGGAGGTGGGAAAGAAAGGTGAAAATATTTTAGTAAAAGAGGATTTAGAACTCTTTTCTAGTGAAAAACAGTGTGTGGGGGAAAGCATCCAAAAAGAAATAGCTGGCTATAAGACATAAGATGTTTGGTAGAAGAATTTTGTAAGATGGGAGGATGGATAGTCATGCAGTGATAAACTGCATTACCCAGAAGGTCCTTCACAGACTTAGGTACCTATCCAAGGCAGAAATAATTTCCAAGGAATTATTACCAGATATTATTAAAATATATTTCAATGACACCTTATCAATTCACAAAAGTTAAGATCTAAGGTAGTTGCTTTTTATGTATATTTTAAGAACATCTGTTCTGCCTAGATAAGATGGAGATTTTTATGAAGTTTTCAAATTATTTTTATCCCAAAGAATGCTGTGGAAGAACGAAAGTAACTAACTGAATATTAGTTATAATAATGTACAAAAAGCTGTATCATATATTTCATTATGGCCTCTATCTATGCAGTTAAGCTACTCCAGATTTTTCAGTCAAGTTATAATTTGTGCTGGAGATGAGAGAATCGGGCTTGGGTTTTATTTCTGAAGCCTCACATTATTTAGAGAGATCACTCATTGACTCCATAAAATGATAGGCATAAAATAACAACCATGTACCTAATCACCTAGCTGCATTGCTTCAGAATGAAAACGTTACTGAAGTGATTGGTGAATTGATTTTGCCATTTACTATGGGTTTCCAGCAAACATTTCTTTCATTCAATAGGTAGCACTGACCCATATAAAGACTCTGATCTTTATCCTAGATATTTATCTTTGATACAATTTTTTTCTTATCATTTTAGAATTCCATAACAGGAGTATACGCATCATCACATATAAAGACCAGTGGTGTCAAATACATGTCAATATAGGCAGGTAAATGATGTTGCAGACAGGTTCTGGGCATGCAGCTGTTAAATTTGCATTCAAATAACCAGCTATGCCATTAATTTGGAGCCCTTGTTCCTGCATCTCTGAAAAGCCAGGAAATGAACATCACAATGCTTTTGGGAGGTCAAGAAGTATTGCCATAGGAAAGAGTAAACTGACACTCAGCATTCTAATGTATTTCTCCATGTTCTTTGAATCCTTGACAGAAAGTAGTAAAGTTATGATGATTCATTTTTGAAGCACCTGTTTCATACTGGCTAATGTCAAAATGGGATCACTAGGTCTATCCTGACCTCTTACCTACCAGAAAAATCTATATTTCAATCAGCTTTGTTCATGTTGGGCTCTGTGGTTTATTTTAGGAAAATGTATGTAATTGCTGAGGAAACAAGTTGTTATATATTGTAGGGATGACTAAAAACCAATGAAATTGCATTCAAACTAAAAAATTAAATTGTTCCTGAGCACCAGTACCAAAGTGCTTTTGCTTACCCTTGTCAGAGGTCCAGTTCTTGCTCTAGGACACTCAGCAACATACAACATGATTTCCAGACATTGTCTGTCCAGAACGTAATCCTTTGTTCTGGGAGATAAGAGATTTGAATCAATTAGAGAACCATAGAATGCTCCCAGTCACATTTAGTTTCCTAACACACTCATGACATTTTGTATACTACTTAAGTGCAAGAAAATTATTGAAGCACCCTGACTAAATGATTCTACGAAGAACAAATTGTATCTGCAGTACCAGGAAAACACTGGACATGGTGCCTGTCTTTCTGATGTCAAATGTGATAATCAGTCCCACATGCGTAGGAGTGACACACACGCACAAAACATATGATCATAAAAAATAAAGAATTACAAGGATTCACCAATTTCTTGTTATTCAAAAATCGGGTATAACTGTATGATTATCATAATGAGCCTGTATGGTTAACAGCAAATAGAATGTGAAAATGTCTAGAGATGGATGTCTTAATAAACAAACAAACAAACAAACAAATAAATAAATTCTTAATGATTTAATCTATCAGAGTCTCAAAGCAGCACTTTAATGTCATTTTGGTAAACGGCTACAATACTATTGCAACTTAACTCGGCAGGCAGATAAGCACCACAAAGTGCTTATCTACTCCTACAAAATTTATCTACTCCTCCCTCCTAGTAACTTTAAAATCAGTATTCTGGGATGTGGTATTTAGTGCAATTTTACTTGCAATGTGTTGAAATACCAGGTTTTTGATTGATTTGTTTTTACATGGAAAGATTTGAAATTACTGTAGTATAGTTTGGAACATAAACTGAATATAATTTACTAAATCTTAAATAAGAGTCAACTTCTCAGAAGTGAGAGGGAATTGCAAATTTCATCTAATTCACAATGAAATAAACAGAATAGTGATTATCTCTAAAATGAAATTATTCACAGATGTCTAGGCTAGAAAGGAATTAACAAAAATCTGACACTGAAGAAACAACAAAATCATTTCTGTCCCAAGGTCTACACTACACCATTAAGCTCTTGTAGCCCAGGAGAACACTAATTGCCTCTATTGCTTCTTATCTTTCATAACAGAAGATGTGAGTCTGAGATATTAGGAATATATGAAAGGAGCCGTACTCAGGATATACTTCATTACTGTGATTTGAAACAGTCTTGCTTATCATTGATGAAGTCTGTCTGGTGTCTTTTCGGTTCTGCAGAGACCCTGCACAATCTTTCATGCTGCATTCAAGTCTCTTGCCTTTTCACAGAATCACAGAACGGACAGGGTTGGAAGGGACCTCAAGGATCATCAAGCTCCAACCCCCCTGCCACATGCAGGGCCACCAACCTCCACATTTAATAATAGATCAGGCTGCCCAGGGCCCCATCCAACCTGGCCTTGAACACCTCCAAGGACGGGACATCCACAACCTCTCTGGGCAGCCTGTTCCAGTACCTCACCACTCTCTGGGTAAAGAATTTCCCCCTGATGTCTGACCAAAATCTCCCCACCCTCAACTTAAAACCATTTCCCCTCGTCCTACACATATTAACCCTTTCAAAGAGTTGATTCCCGTCCCCTCTGTAGGCTCCCTTTAGGTATTGGAAAGCTGCAATAAGGTCACCCCGCAGCCTTCTTTTCTCCAGGCTGAACAAGCCCAGCTCCCTCAGCCTGTCCTCATAGGGGAGGTGCTCCAGTCCCCTGATCATCCTAGTGGCCCTCCTCTGCACCCTCTCCAACAGCTCCCTGTCATTTTTGTACTGCAGGCTGCACACTTGGATGCAGTATTCCAGATAGGGCTTCACAAGGGGCTCCCTGTCCCTGCCACCCCTCTTTTGATGGACCCCAGGATACCATTTGCCCTCCAAGCCGCAAAAGCACACTGTTGGCTCATATTAAGTTTTTAGCTGTTAATCTTATGCCTCTTGGATTGTAAGGCTTAATCTGATGACCTAATCTTTCAACTCCTTCACAGTAAAATGATGGTTTTTTTAAATTAAAATTAATTTGTCCTATATTTTATTCTATTTCACTCAAAGTTGCCTTCTGAACTTATATTCCACAAATTAACATCTTTCGTTATTTCCTTGACCATGTCCTCTTGCATTCATTTTTAGTTTTGCTGATGATGTTGTTTTATAATCATTTTATGAGAAAAAATCAACCACAATTGCCACAATATTCTTAAATGCTAATATGTTAATGTCCTAAATTATACATAACTATAAGGATTTATCTCTGAATTAGGAGTAGAGTCATGCCAACTTATTTTCACTTGAGAAAATGATGCCTAAGCTTAGCTTAAGATGTTTAGCATCTTAGTGTTAACCTTCTTCCATTTCCAGAGATGAGCATATGATTACTATTTTCCTAGCTTTGCAGATGAACATGAGCCCATCTTCAAGCCTTTGCAAAAGTAAAATTTTCAAAACAGAGATTTTTATCTTTGTTTGAATTACTTATAACTTAGTTCCTTATTTCAACTAATCTCTTTAAATTCTGTCATAAATGTTAATTCTATGTTGTGCTTCCAACTGAGAATAGATACAATACAGATGAAAAGTATAGATGAAGAAACAGCCTGTACAGTTCTGTAATTTGTATTTAAGTATGGTTTTTATAGAAAACCAAAGAATCATTGCATATGAATCCTGTTTGCTGTGCTTTCCTTTACATTCCTGTCTCTTGAAATAACACTAAAACTGGTAAGGTGGATATTAAGCATGTTATTTTGGTAACTGCATATTAATAGCCCTTCTAAATTAATCAGAAGTTTCAAGTCACTAGGGAAAAATAAATAGTTAAGTGAGGCTGATAATATAATGCAGTGCTATACAACCCAGGGAGAATTAAAGAATCATGTATTGATTATCTGCTGTAGCAAAACAAAGTGTTTTTTTTTTCTCTTCTAATACAAATTAAGTATTTATGTGTAATGTGGCCAGTGTTCTGTGAAGATATTACTTCAAGAAGAGTGTGGCAGAAACATAAGTTTACAATGGCTTGGAAGCAATGTAAACCTATATAATAATGAACAATGTAACTGATAACAAAGACTTACTTTATTGTGGAAACAGTCAATTCAAAAAAGTCTTTTTTTTTTTTTTTTTTTTTTTCTGAAAACAATTCCTGTATGAAAGATAGGACAAGATGATACCATTTTCAGGATGTCACATTAAATGATTTGCTTCTGAATGATCAAAAAATACTAATTTTTTAATTATTCTGATTAACCTGTAGGTATTATGAGAGATGAGGTGAATAACAATGAGATGCCTTATTGATAGATTATGTTATTGGAGGATTAGGAGATCCTAACTTCATAATACACGAATTTACAATTTGCCCAAATTAAGTGGAGTTCGATTTCAGCTACATGAAATATTCCTACACATATTCAACTGCATGACCAATGAGGGGAAAAATTATAATTATCTGAATTAGTAAGGTTTTCTTGTTTATTTGTTATGGAAGCTTCCAGTTGGCATGTAAGAAATTTTCCTTGTTAGTCTGGAGAGATGCAGCAATGTAAGAAAACCATTACTTGCATTTATGCTCAAGCTATCTTGAGATGCAATTAAAAACATCACATAAAGGAAAAGTATGGAAATTCCATTACTCTGAAGACTTCTGTAAGGGGAAATATAAAGATAAAAGCATCTATCTCCCCAACATCTTATTTCACTTTCATATGCATGAAAAGGCTCATTGACTCTAAATATTAATTCTTTTACTCAGAGCATGTAACAGACCAAGTAAGTTTTCCCACACTTTGTAGAAAAGCTTCATAACATAGCAGAGATTCTAGTTCATAAGTTCTCAAAATTTCCCAAATTATCTTCTGCTCAAGTACACACTTGAATGCTTGAATAAATATGTTGAGATGTATGTGAAAGAAAATTAGTATTGAGATCCTTGTTCATGCAACAGAATGGTCACCTAATTTAAAATCAAATAGGTTCTTGTAAATTAAATCCCTAATGAGGAATGAGTTGACATGTAAGATGCAAAGTCCACACAATTACCTTCTTCACCAAAATTTCTTGGGATCTTTTTTAAAACTTTGGGTAGTACTTGGTTGGGTGGGTTAATCTTGGCTGTCTGCCAGGCTCTCAATCAGCTGATCTCTTGTTTTGTGTCTATACTGGGACAAAGGAGAATAGAAAAACTCACGGGTCAAGATGAGGACACGTATATAATTTACCAATTGCGACCAATTACCAATTATGATCAATAGGCAAAGCAACCTCAAATTAAGCAAAATTATTTTCATTTGTCACTTAAAATAAGCTTAGGTGGTGAGAAGCAAAAGCAAAAACAACTTTTCACTTTGCTCTCTTTTTTTTCCTAGGCTTGACTTCACTCTCTCATTATGACTCTTCTAACTTCTTCTTCCCCAACAATCCTGGAATTGTCTGTGTCCAGCACAGGATAGCCCCAGCCTCTCCTCATACAGTAAACCTCTGCAGCTACTTCTCCATCAGGCATTTCTATATATGTAAGTATGTATATAAGTACTATAAGTATTTTTTATATACTTTATAAACTTTTAGATACTTTTATATACTATACTTATACTTTTTACTGTAAGTATTTTTGTATAAGTATACAAAATATAATATAAATTATATTATTTATATTATGAATTATAGTATAGAAATATATATATGCAATATATAGAGAGACACATTAATATGTGTGTGCATTCTCATGTGTACAAAATGATAACTAGGGAAGGGCTTGAAGGAAGTATGAATGTTATTTTTATGTTGCAAGTGCCATGAAACTCTGGATTAAAAAGTATAATCAATACTATTATATGTCTTTATTTAAGGGAGATCATGTTAAATGCCCAGTGCTTCATCTGAGAGTATCATAAACAGTTCATCTGGTTGAAAATTTAACTCCTTAGTGCTATCACTATCAGGAAGATGGATTTATGCCTTTCAGATAAGTAAACTCCAACATATCTGAAGTATTTGAGTAACCTAACAGTTACTCTATGTTTATTCTACCTCTTTCCTTCCCTCTATTTCTTTTGCCAAGCTTTTTCACTCACAGAATCACAGAATTGTATGGCTTGGATGGAACCTCTAGAGATCATTGTATCCAACATTCCTGCTAAAACAGGTTCCCTACAGCAGATTACAGAGGAAAGAATCCAGAGAAAGAGGCTCTATGCCTTCTCTGGGCAGCTTGTTCCAGTGCTCTGTAACTCTGATGGTTCTTCTTTGTTCGTCCTTGTTATTTCACTCAAGTAACAAGTTTCTAAAACTATATTTCTGCACAAAATAAAATACTGGTAAAGCACATATAAGCACAATTTGATTATTATTTTACCATTTTATCTGCATAGTCTGGATTCAAAACTGTCAAAGGAAAAAAGTTAATTTGCTTCAAGTAAATTTGAGAGAATACTTACATATGATTTCATTAGATTGCCTTTTGTCATCAGCGTGGCTGAGGGTTCAGAGGTGTTCTTTTGCCACCAGTCATTATCTGTTCTTCACTCCTGCAGTAAATAATGTACATATAAGATAGCTCTGATTAAAACTCAGGGAATTAATTATTCCAAGTTTCTTCAAAGCAGTAGAACTCACTTGCCCTTATTATTTTCCCGTAGAAGATACGCTTAAATATTAGCAACTCTACCTGAAGAAATCCATCACAGAATACAGAATTCTCAGGAATACCAGGATAAATCATAAAATAAAAAATCCTTTATGAAGAATACACAAACTTTATCCCTATTCAACCACGTATATTGAATCATCAGTGAAAGAATATTTTAGCACATACCTGAAGAATATTTCTCCTAACTTTCAATCATTAAACTAAAATTGACTGATCATTAGTAAATATATTACCTCTATCTATTAAAAAAAAAATTATCTTTCTACAATCTGTATCAGCAGTTGGCAATTTTGAGTGATTGGACCAATTTGCACAAACCAAAATGCCTTAAAAGAGCTTAATTTTCACTGTTGGGACATTCAAAATTTTCTGCAAGAACTCTTCAATGATGTGTTAAGCTAAGCTCTCACTGATGAAAGATCATAATAACTAATTATTAAAAATAACTGACTTTAAAACTCTTACATTTGTTTTTAGCAGATATTTCTGTATATAGATTTAACTATCTTTGTCAGTTATACCATAGTTAGAAATATTTTCACCTACCCGTTCACTTTTGTTATCTTCCAACAAGCTTCTATCCTGGATTTCCAGATAACACTTGGTAAAATATTATACAGTGCTTATTATGTTCCTTATCCTGAAAAGGAAGATAAGTGGAAAGGTACTTAATCACCCAAGGCTCTTTATAAAGAAATTCTTCTCATTGTTTCAGTGCAAATAATGCATGATAAAAACTTTGATTAATGTGACGTATTTCAATTAATTTGATCTTATGCATGCTATGTAATATCTGATTAACAGGGAATAAAGTTCTTTTGATATTAGTTAAAGGTAAGATTTCAAAGCAATGCAAAGATGTTTTACTTCTACTGATGTTTACAAAAGTTGTCTGACCAAAGTCACGCATATTACATTCAAAATTCACACTACTAATTAATTAAGAAACTAAACTTCATGAGCACTACTGACAAGTTGAGTTAGGGTGGATCAGAGTAAAATGTCTATTTCTATACAGTTGCTATACTGTATGCAGTACACACGATGTCTTACAAGCTTTGTCCTTTACATTTGTGCACCTTTAAAACTATATAAAGAAAGATGTCAGTTCAGTAATTCTGCCTGGAAAATGACAGTATTTAAAAATAAATATAATTAAACAGAGGAAAAATCCTTTTCGTTGTATATTTTGAAAGCATGCATACACAACACAATAAATTATTCACATACTTTAGCAGCAGGATGCCTATCTTCAACTAAAATTATTAACAACACATCACTTTAAAAGGCTTTCTGTGCAAAAATAAAATATTTAAGTTTATTGTATATTTAAAACCAGTGTTGTTTATTTACAAAAGTTACAGAAACTGTAACTTTTCTTATTGTTGTTACATTTACACTGGTGTGTAAAAACAAGGTGATGTAAGCATGCTGCTATAACTTTTCAAGTTCTTTCATATGGTAAAAATCTCCCCAAGAACACCCTCCCCATGACACAAACAACAACAACAAAAAACAACAATCATAGCACCACCACAAGTACTACCACCACCAAACATTAAAGTCTCATTCAAGAATGTACTGCAAGATAGGAGATTAATTCAGATTGATATGCCTGATGCTTCCTTTCAAATTATATTAATGGTTAAAAGTTGCACAAAAAAAAAAAAAAAAAAAAAA